AGTCGTCCGATTTCGCTCGTTTTTCCAAGACTTCCGGCCCGGAATCCTAGAAATTGCTCTCGACTCGAGACTTCTCGAAGATGGAAGGGGGAGCAAAGCAAGCAGGCACAGCCGTCCTAACGAGCCGTTCGCGAAATATCACTCGATCGACCATTCCGAATCCTCACATTCTCGTCGTAGTTCTCGAGCTTGATTACAGAAGCTCGACGATCTCGTGCGTCTCGTATTACGCCGAAGAAAGAGGGTTGCGCGACGACGACCCCTTGATTACGTTTCGATGAAGTCTGCGCCCCGCCGCTGCCACCGCCGTCGTCGGTCGGCAAAGGGAGATCAAGGAAACGAACGGTGAAAAGGTAGAAAAGAAACGACAAAGGGAACCTACGATGAACTACGGATTCACCGTAACTATTCCCTCGACCTAACTTCCTTTCTCTTCTTTACCGCAGAAAACATCTTCTTTCTTTCGTCGGAGTTGCTCCCCCTGTTTCTCGAAGGTGCGAGGAGACAAGGCATCAAATAGGGAATGTCGAATTCAAATTCAAGTTTCAAATTCCAAATTCAAATTTAAAATTCCAAACACAAATTTCAAATTCAAATTTAAAATTTAAAATAAAAATAAAAATTTCAAATTACAAATTTAGTTTTCAAATTCAAATTACAAAGTGAAAATTTAAATTCCAATATCCAATGTCCAAATATCAAATTCTAAATACAAATTTCATATTCAAATTTCAAATTTAAATTTCGAAGCCAAATTTCAAATTAAAAATTTCGAATTCCAGACACTAATTCAAGATACAAATTTAAAATTCCAAACTTACTTTCTTTCGTTCGATCGATATTTCACTAATTTTCAATTATTCCAGAAAAAATTTCATTTGGGGATTCCAAAAAAAATGAAACTTACTAAAGAGCTCGAAAAAAAATTACCAATAATTTCTCATTACTTCTTAACAAAAACAAGTTCATAGGGCCATTAATCTATTCATAATTCGCTCGTTTACCCTATATGAGACGGTACCCATACGAAGCCAATATCTCTATTATTATTTTGTTTTAAAGCGCAATATAGGTACTGTTCCCTTGTTTCGTATCCAATCGCCTCGTTTTCTCGCATTTACGGCCCATAATTCTCGCAGCATAGCACTTCTGAAATTTCGACGCGCATGTTAAAGACGTGAATTTCGTAAGAGAAGCGTATTCGAATCGAAAGATAATGCCGACGAGAAGGGTTCTAGCGCCAAAAGGAGAGGGAAGGAAGGGGTAAAACAGTAGGATTACTCGTTAAACGCCCTGGTCTGAGATACCTGGCTGGGTTCGATTTCGAAACTGAATTTCCTGCTCGCTATCGAATAATCAGCAGGAGGCAAGACTTCCCAGCGTTCGCATAATCCAGCCCCCACCCCCCAGCCGTGTGCCATGGCTGAATATGCATGAACGCGTTCGAGACATAAGCGTTCGCTACTTAAAATAATTCAGCCGACTGTTCTCGTTGCGTTGATTGCATTCCATCTGCCTTGGATCCGCAACTAAATACCATGGAATTGCCGGTGGTGTATGTGTACGTACAGGGTGATACATTTAAATCGATCTAAGGTCGAATATCTTCGACGTTTTGGACGATATCGAAAATGTTTCATACACGAAGTGGAATGGATTTTCGAGAGGTATATAATTCCAATGTGATTACTCTATTTTGTAGGTGGAGAGCATACGAAGAGTGAATTTGTTTTTTTTTTTTTTTTTAATGGAACTGTACATTTCTAGGATGCATTGATTGGTGCTGCTGGTGATTCATAGAAAAAATGATGAAGTTATTTATGCTATGAGATCATTAGTTTTGGAAATATTTTTATTACAAGATACCTTAAGCTTGTCTAATTTGATTTTGGATCCATTGAATCGAATCACCCTGTATATGTGTACCGGAGAGCCCAGCAGCCGCAACGCCCGCTTACAGAGAAATTGTTGCCGAGCAGACGAAACTGCCTCGAACTCCGCCTTTAACTGTCAACGATTTTGCCAGCGAGTAAGTTCTTCGACGTTCCCGGTTAACGAGTTAACAGTTTGCCAAGTGTACCGCTGCGGGCAACTTCCTTCCCAGATATATTAATATATTAGAGAACGACCCGAATGAACGGAGAGTTTACGCGGTTCCCGGTGAAAAAGAGAGGAATCCAAGACATTAATTCGTAGGGAATTACTGCGTGAGAGTGAGTGAAGGTGGGGGAGTGGAAAAATCGTAGCAGAAAGAAGGGGCGAAAGCTTTGACCTATCAAATCTGATATTCAAATCTGATTTTTAATTGTACAAAACGAAAAAAATTTGCCCATCAACCTAATATTATTTATTTAGAATTTAGAATTGACGGGCAATATATTTATGAAATACAGAAGTACATTTTACACCTTCAGGACTGATCCAAGAACCTACAGAACCTACACGTATCGCAGATCTCGACAAACAACATCATCCGACAAGAGAAAAAAGCAGTAATATTGTATTTCCCCATTCGTTGGCTTCAAGGTGATCGCGATCCAAGAGATCGTCCTGATTCGATTTCACGGTAGACTACCATTTCGGGAACGAACCTTTTTCACAGAAATTTCGATAACGCCATATTTTCTGACCGATGAATTCTTACCCAGAAATGCGAAAGATCGGAATCGTTCGAAATATCGCGGCGCGTCACGCCGTCAAAGAACGAAATCCTCGTTCCTCCTCTCGACGTTGCTACGAAGAGTTCTTAGAAAGTGAACAAAAATCGCGCGGTGTCCTCTCTTTTCCCGTGTCGGCCTGCCCGGGACAAGCATCAAAGGCGTTTCCGGTTCTCCACCCCCGGGAAGGAGAAAGATCTCTTTGAAAACGCATCGAGAGCGTTTAAACGGACGGGAAGGGAAGGGAGAAGGGGAGACGGAAACGTTGCCAGGGACAAATAAATAAAATTCATCGGGAACGGATGTTTTCGAGGATCATTGAAGCGGTGAAAACGTTGTTAGGTGCAACGAATGAACGATCCATTACTTCTAATCGATAGGGTGACCGAAATATTAAATATATGTGGTGAAATATAATAGGATAAATAAATACAATACACCCAATTCTGATTTTACACGAAGATTTTAGTACACGATTTAGATTTAACACGAATTAGAAAAGACAAGGTCAGCTTGTCTCTCAATTGTATATCTCTCCAGTAAGTACTCCAATAAATTTCTCGAGTTATTAATTTTCTTCATAAGTTCGCTGAATTTACGATTGTCTTTTGTCAATTTTAGCCTTCTTTACGTGCTGGCAATAACGGAAACAGACAAAACGTAGATGATTCCGTGGAAAAATCTGCCATTACTTTTCCCAAATCCTCGGAAGGAGAGTTCACTTTGAAAACCGACTTACGTACTTCCGTCGTCGGATTCAACCGAACGAATTTCACCCTCGAGGACGTTTGTCTACCTCCGGGACACGTTTAAGATTCCCTTCAATCATTCCGTATATTGGCTTTCCGTGTATCCTGATGGACGGAGACAGAACCGAATGGCAGAAATCCTTCTCGAGTAGTAGCATCTCCACGTCGTCACGTGTAAAGAATTCAGTCGGTCCTTAATGATTCCCTTTCGCTCGAGGTCTCCATTAAACGTAGAAGAAAAAAAAAAACTGTCGCGGATCTGGGTGGTGGGGGGGGAAAAAACGGAAACGGGGGAACCGAATGTACTCTACTGGTACACCACCTTGGTACTTTTATTTGAAGTCCCGACGAGGTTACAGGACCGTTGAAAATTCCGGAATAGACACTCACCGGAGTACTTGACTCGATTATGAAAATGTCCTCAACCCTCTCTGTCTCCCTCGTTGGTTCTCTTTTTCCATCGTAACCCCTTTTTCGTTGTCCGTAGCTTCAGCCTCGCTTTGATCGCGGCGTGAATGTCGCGGATATGCGCACACTTACCGAGTAGTCGGCATAAAATTAATCCATTTATAGCCTAACACTATCTACCTTGCGACCTTCACGTCTTACACGAGACCGTACTGGTCTAAACGACTAAACTTTCTGTTCGAAAATTTAAATTCGAAAGAGAGCTTGGGAAAACGTGCATGGTGCGATAGAACGGTGTGTCTGTCGTGGAAATTCGGGAGAGAAAACGGAAAAAATTCGTCCATTCGTATCATTTCAGGACTATGAGAAAGTGGTTCTTTGTCCCGACTTGTTGGTCCGAAGATTATTTTTCGAATATTGAAACTACCAGTGAATCCAACATTACACATATTAATTGTAATCGTATCTACTAGCTCACATACGAAAGACCACGTATGTCTGGAATAATTTGCAGAGAAAAGTACACGAAATCGTCCCGTCGTGTTAGTTCAAAGTTTAAAATTGCTCCTATACTACACCTGACATTATAATCAATATCGTACGTGTCAATTATAATTTGATACAATAACTCACATTAAGGGAAATATTCAGAGGAAAAATAGTGTATCATCATAGAACTTTACGAGAAAAGTAAGTGAAGTCATGGGAACGTATTGGTCCGGAGCCAGAACTTGTCCCAGTCTTTCAGCTAAATTTACATGCAACGATAAATATGATATTTACAGTTGTCCAGTCTCTATTATTTACTTTATCTAGAGCAATATCTCGGTTACCTCCTGTGGTACGTAAGAGTCAGTCAAGAAGAAGTTGTTTATTTCAATGAAACTTCCTTCCATTCCCTGTTACTAGGAGGTAAACATATTGCAGACAGTTAAATACGAATTTTCCTGGAAGTCACAACAGTACCACTGTGAAACGATATTTCTGTCATAGAAAACTTCTCAATGAATAAATCTTAAGGGATCAAGAAAAAAAAGAGAAATGACCGTAAAAAAATATTGTCAGTTCTAATAATTAAATAACACCTTACTTTTTGGTTCAACTGAAGACAACAGAGGCACTGTGATAGATAAAGTAAATGAAAGACACTGCGCAATATATTAAACCGGTGGAGAAAATCACGTACCCGCAGAACACGTTGTCCGTCATCCGGCAATTTTCCAAGGCGAATCGGAAAAACCACACATCGGTCACATCCGGTCCGTAGCCAGAAGTCGGTCCAATCATTCAGCCGGCGTCACGTTAATTGACGTACGTGGGGCCACATACACGTGGAAATGGTACAACGTCGAGACTCTATGCTGGTCCGCTGGAAATTCAGATCTGTAAATAAAAATTCATATTTCTTCGTCTACTTTATGTAAGTAAAAATACCATCCGAAAACGTCAAGAATTTATCCTTGTAAAAGGGATCAGGGGTCTTAGAAACAGGATTCTTTACAAAAGGATTTTATATTTTGTTCATAGTAGGAAAAAGAACCATCGAATATTGCCGCGTAGAAAGCAGGGTCTGCCAGATATAACCTTTCCTTTCGTTTCCTCTACACACGTTTCGTTAACCCTTGCGCTCCAACTACTAGATCTACTGTAACTGCCAGCTGCACTGTCAACGCATTAACTTTTTTTATTTTACCAAAACAAAAAGAAAATGTACACGTAATACCGTTACTTTAACAAGGTTCATACGTATATTCTCTACCTGCTATTATTGGTGTGTAAAAATTGCGAATACAATTTTTCCCTTTTTTTAGAACTTCCGTTTAATGAAATCCATTCTGCCCTGTACAAGTGTAACCGTCAATCGCTTTAATAAAAAATGATTTTTCGAGAAATTGTTGCATTTTTTCCAAAGTACAGTGTCAGAATCCGCAGTCCTATCGCTGTGATCTACGAACACTCATCGAGAATTTACTGCATTGTGATTAACGAAATATCACCTACAAATCCCTGGAGTAGACTACCTGCCAAGACATCCTACCTTAAAACCGTCATAGATTAACCCTTTAACGCCGAAACCCTTAAAACGTTATTTCAAAATTATGAGACTCACATATATGGTGTACCTTGTTATTTCGAAGTTGAAAATATCGACATTAGACAGTTTTTTTCCCCTATTTTATTTATGAAGAGAATACTTGAATTTCTCAACTGAAATCATGAAAGTACGGATCCTCGCTGACTTTAGAAATTAACCAGAGAAAGAATTTGACGTCCTCTTAAAATGATTGTTGCGCCTGTGCAACACAGGGAGTTAAAGGGTTAATATCCACAAACTAGCAGTAATATTCGAATATATACAGGTGAACAGAGTGAAACTGCACCCCTCCAGCCGACCTGTGTCGTTTGCAGTCGGTTGTTCGAGGGTCAATACCCACCGAGAACGAGTGGTGACCATCAATAATGGACAAGCAAGCTAGGGAGGGGTGAAAAATGTGCAACCACGTTCGGAAGCGCAAGGAGCTGCTGTACTCTTTTCCTCCGGGTTTCGTCGGGGACCCATTGTTTCGACCGGGCGGCTGCTCATTTCTGATTCCCGTCGCACTTTTACCGTCTAACGACGTGAAACGACGGGGAGACGGTCGGCAGGGATGGTTGTGGGAGGGTGGGTTCTCGCCTCGACTCGAGTGCTCGGTGCAATTTCCTGCCGCTCTCCCGGGAGCGAAACGCCGCACCCGCTCTGCTTTCGCTTGTATCGAGATACTACCCAGCTCCGAAAAGAAGACGAGAAAAAAGAAGAAAGTGCCTACCCCCGAAAGGGGGATGAACGGAGAAGACGAAACGAATCGAGAGACGGCGGAAATGTAAATGAAAATGATAATGTCGAGAGCAAAAGTGAGGGTGGTGTAACTGCGAGTAGGTACACCTGGAAGTAGTTTACCGAAGTGTTTTCGACACCTCGAGAACGAGTGCTTTCGTGTCGTTATAGGTACCTTTCGAGCCCCTGTAAACGAACCCTTGGTAACACTCTGGCTTAAGTTTGTTTAAGAGAATTTTTGAACATTTCTATTTGGGGGATATGGACACAATGGTTGGCGATTGTGAGTTAATTAATTGTTATCGGTGGATGTTACTGGATTTGGCAGGAAATTTCGTAGATAATTAAACGACAAATCGGTATTGTTATGGGGACCTATTAGTTCGTATATTCTCTTGGCAGAAATTATCTGCGATTGTGCCAGTTAATCACGCCTAGGCTACGATATTCACGTCATTTTCAATTTTCCGAGCGATTCGTTATTGGTAATTAATTACCGTTCCGGTGGAGCGTTACAGTGGACTCGGGGAAACTATATCGATGTAGTTCTTTTTGTTTTTATTGACAGAGTTTATTAATTATTCGATTACTGATATATTGTCGCGATTGATGTATCGCGGGTAATTTAATGGGCAGACGAAAGGTATATGTTTAGAAATATGTTGCTAAATATATTTCCACGGATTTGTTCACACCGATTGACTCGAGATTGATTGCATTGGTTTTAACTGTAAATAAACTATGAAAATTCATAAAAACCTAGGCTTTTTAGAATTATTTCACAAACAAAAATTACAAAGTAACCTCCAACCTTCGTAAAGAATTCTCGATTCCAACAAAAATCTTCTATAAACAATTCTCAGTTCTAACAAACTTTTTAAGATAGTTTTTCAGATATTGCGATTACGGATTTACTGATTTTCAACAGAAGAAAACCTGCTCGAATAGGAAGCACCGGAGGTGGTCTTGTTAGTGCCTCAAGTGCCACGTAAATTGGTAAATTTTTATGTGGAATGTCTCAAAAACAATTTTAAAAACAATGTATAGATTGCAGGTTACTGAATTCGTCTTGAAACCCACTATTAAGTGATAAAAAAATATATATACATAATTTCATTTAAAAAACCAAACTTGATCTTCATATCTCTTACAATAAGAATATTAAAAAAAATAGTCCGTTAATTAACGCCCAGGAGCCATTCAATTCTCTGTAAACAGTATTCTCGTATTTCAAATGGTTTATGAAATAACGGACTGCACACAGTTCGCGCGGACACCCTGTATAACGGAAGGACCCCAGAGATTCGAAAGTTGATCAAACCGAGAGCGGTCTCTCGCGGCGCAAGTAGATAATCCCCGTCACGCGTCAGCCAGACGTTCCCCTGCGATCGTAAAAAACTGACAGACGCCGGCAGCCCGTAAGCCTGACAAAGTATAACGCCCAGCCCAGAGGGTGGGCCGAGTCTTTTCCCTGAAAAGAGAATTCGACGATACGTCACGTCTTGATCCGCACGCGGGAATAGTCGCACACACACACACACACGCCATTCCGAGCTGGAATTCGCCAGTAAGCTCGATCGGTTCCTCGCTCTCTCGACGGCTGACATTCTACCCCCATTTGACCGTGTGAGAGAGAAAGAAAAATGGAAAAAAAAATCTTGGAGATTAGCCCCGAATACATATATGTACAGTATCTGTCATCGGTGATTCATATACAGGGTGTAACAAAAGTTTTATAGGTCCCTGAAATGGGTCACTCGTGAGCTGATTTGGAACAAGGTTTTTCTTAGCAGAAATATTATCCGAGGCTTCGTTAACGAGATATTAACAATGAAAACTGTATTAGAATTTATTAAACTTCTTTATATATTGCACGTAAAGCTAAGCTGTTTATCGTTGTTCCACACTTTGTTGGAAAGGAAATTATTCTCGAAACTTTATTGCCCCCGCCTCATAATATAACGCGGCATATTGAAGCAGAAAAAAAAAACACCCTATAGACGAAAGTGTAAACGAATCGGTGTTCGTGGATCGAGCAAACACAAGTTTCCAGCCCCGAGGAATGGAGATAAGTGGGTGGAAAAAATCGCTCACGCGGGAGACATTACCGTAACGTCGGTGAACGACGTGCTCGCGTGTCGAAGCTGGGGGTGGAAGTAGGGGGGGAGGCGAGATCCACTTCTGAATGGAGGGGCACCAGCACGAGTGTACACGCTCGTTCCGGTATATGGGTCATTCGTCTGGCGCGAGTTCTTTGACGCCGGACAAAACGTGCCAGACCGTTTCGCGTTCCTCAAGTTCCATTCGGTTTCTCTTTAGTGGAGACAGAGAACTGCTTGTACCGTATCGTTTAAGATACTTTACGGTCTATTTCTTGTTTGAGTCGTTTATTCGCCTATGGGATTAACTCCACCAACAAATTACACTGTTCAACACATAAAATATTTCATAACCGTTAATACATGTTTCTGATAGACCTTTATGAGCTGCATATGAACCTGCAAACAGTTCTTTTATAAGCACTTGCAATTTTGAAAAACATCACTTTTACAACAAAAATTGCAAATTTTCCAGTTCGAGGTGTGTTGTGCTTTTACATTGATAGTTATTCAGTTGCCTTTCACACGAAATAATTCTTTGGACGCTCCCAAACAAAATGATGTAAATTGTTACAGTGGTCCCTCGATGAAGGCGAACGGCGTTACTCCCATCGCTGAGTAAACAGAAGCTACGCAAAAGCTCAGCTTCAGGTAAAGAAAAAATATTTATGAGGGGTTGAAAATCTATTCGCCTTACCACGAATGTTCCGAAGTGTACCCGGGTATGTCGCACTTATCGAGACATTACTGTATTAGATCAGAGACATCTAAATATATTTAACATTAGAACTACCAGTACTGAATATATACTAAATAAAATTGTATAATACCATAATACATATACAGACTTTATAAGATAATCTAGCATAACATACCACAAAATAAAATCTGCACTAAATTAAAAGTTAACCTAAATTCCGTCAAAAGTACAATTATAATTTCAGTAATGGTAAAATAATAAATCTGTAATCCATCATTTTGGCTGGTTTGGTAGTTCTAGTGTTAAATAATGATCAAATTGAAAAGAACACCGAAAACGCACCAAGTTTTACCAACATTCTTCAATTTTACCATTAGATGTATCTTATCCTACACATTAATTATAAAAAAAAAATTTATGGACGATTTAAGAGCCCTATATGTGCTATACAAGCAACTCTCCCGTATCAGCCAGCGTAGACGTCGGTCGCGGTTTTTCTGGGAAGCCGCGAGGTAAGCGATTCCGCGGTAACCTCTTCACCGGGCATTTAGGAAGACATCCGGGCCGTCGGAGCACTCTGCATCCGTGGAAAAACACGCGCCCCCGAGTACCGTACTAGCCTCCACCCCTCACCCCGTTGAGACGCTTCTCGTTCGCAATTACACGGCCGGAAAAAGACTCCGGAAGAGCCGTACTTACGGGGCTTCGAGTGAAACGAGACGACCCTTTCGCGACGGAGATAATTATAGTCCGTATCGATTCGATGTAC